CATTTATTAAACCAGAATGAGCGCTCATATGATTTTCCTGATGACCTGGACAATTTGGTTGGAAAGACTTTGATATTGAAAATGAAACTGAACCAGTATAATCTGGATTTCCCTCACTCAAGTATTTCAGTTTCAACTTTTACTGAGGTTGCTGACCTAATGGAAGAATTTGATAGGGTGAGTTCTTGTGTTATTATCAATATCTGTAATAGTGAAAGCTATGTCGGTTAAGATTTTAGGTGTAAGATAATGTTTCTTACATGTTTTTTAAAATTATGTAAGGCTGTTGACGTTGCTGTAGAAGCTCCACATCAGGTGATGATTTTTTGAATTGATATCTTAATTTTCAGTTTCATAATTTTATGAAGTTTTGCTCATTGTTATTTTTGTTTTGAAGGTGGGTGAGGCAGTTGAACCTGAGCCAGATGAGGTAACCACAAGGAATAATGTAATGTTTATGATAGTTGATTATAAAGACTAAAAGCTAAGTTACTCTTTTCAATTATTCTATGTAGCTTGCTGAATATCTTATTGTGGGAGAAGATGTTGCTGATGGAAGTGTTGTTCATGGGTCTGTAACCGTCATATCTGAGGATAACGATAAGGAGGTTGAAGTGGATGTGGTGCTTATGTCTCAGCAAGTACCTAATGCAGAAGTTACCAAGACCATGACATATAAAGGGAAGCAAAAGATAGGAGGCAAAAGGGGGGGCACGTCCAAGATGAAGCATATGCAGGATCTTAATGCCTCTCCTGTCAGAGGAGGTTGGATTCCCTCAAAGAATGTGAAGCAGGAGATGTGACACCTTTGTTCTCTTTGTCTTAACTGTGTTACTATCATAAGAGTCTTATGCATGTTATGTGTAGTACGTGTTTTGTATTAGAAGCTTATGTTTGGAGCATGTGTCCACAGTGGCCATTGTTGTAATAATGTTATAGCTTATATGTGTGTTATAGTATCTGTAGTGCCTTAGTGGTCCTCTTAAGTATAGGAGTTATTTTGCGTCAATGGTAATTTACCATAGGAATCATTGCCATTTGACAGAAGAACCTAATATTATATATGTACTGTGGTGCTATTATTAATGAATGGAAGTTTATGTTATGTTAAAGTCAGGACAAGTATTATTGATTATTTGTTGTCGTTAGAAAAGAGGGACAAGACAACTTTGATGCATTTGTTGAGTATGTGCATGCACGAATCTTTAAGACTCAATCATCTATATAAGTCCACTAAATAAACATAATTATGACAATACTAGAGCAGGAATTGTCAGTTGCTTCATATTAGCTGAAGATAGCTTCTTAAAATTCAAATCTTACGGATTTTTTCAGAGCTTAGTGTTGGAGACATTTTATAATTTCTTGATTAGATATGACTTTAGAAAAATATGATTATTATTAAACTTGTCACTGGATTTTATATATACAATAAACTGATTTGCCATCACTATTGCCTCTTGAAAGTCATCAAAATCTTATGGTCCATTCTGATTGAGATTGACGTAGGGAATTAAAACTTAAACCTTCAAAAAGCTTGATAATATTGGTGATATAAACAAATATTTTTGGAAGGTGGTAATTTCTAAATGATTGTTTTCATCAAAATCTAAAAATCGTATAGATTTGTGCAGTTATTAAACATTGCTGTACATATGCAATATTATTATCATATGTCAGATGAAGTATGGGCCAATACGTTTTTAGATAAATATATATATATATATATATATCCTCAGGTGCATCAAATAGTAATAATTATCAAATCGTATGTTCACATAAAAGATTAACATGATTGACTTTCAGTTTGAAGGAAGAAAAAGAGTTGGTCTCTCAGTACATTATGAACAGTTAATTTGCTTTTTATACACGTTTGCTGCGAGTTATGTGTTTTTTTTTTTAGTTTGAAGAGAGAGAGTCTCTGATGTGACACTGTATGAAGGGCATGGCATATATGAGGTTGTTGGGAGAATATGATTTACTTATTTGCCTTTAGATTTTCTGACAGATATTGTTTTTGAAATATATTATGGGATGCATAAATAATTGATTGATGGGCCTGGTAGGCATACTTGCTGACTTTCGTAGCTTTCATAAGTCATTTCATTAGTATGTTTTTGCCTAAGACATAGGAAATATAAAGCGCCAAGATACAGAGAAGAGGATAATAGATTTTGGTATTATCTGCTTAGGTAACTTTAAGGCTTACATTCAAACTTCTGTTCTTGAACGAGTATGAATCTCTCTTAATCATTAGGAACAGGTTTACGTGGCTTGACTAACAGCGAAGATGTTGAGCTCACAAAATTTAGTAGATACCTCTTGTCAAACTCCAAGTATATTGAGTAGTGTATTCTCTTTTCAGTTTATATATGTCAGTATGTAACGATATCACTTATTATTAAGTTATAATGATTTGTTTATGCATGTGTAGGTGGTCAAAAAGTCTCTCGTCCTGGCACAATTGGCAGTTTGGAAGGAGATGAAAATATTGTTACTGAGAATCATGATTCTACAGTGAATTCTCAGGCAAAATTATTAGCTTCTGACAGTAGATCTCCACCTTGTAAACGTAGAGGAAGAGCTATTGCTTTGGGAGATATCACGAACTTGTCCTTTAATCTAAATTCTACGTATGAGGATGACATGATATCTGGTAAACTTAAAAGATGTTTCCATAATTAATTTCACTAATAAGCTTTATTCTGAAGATTCATGATCGCATTATTAATATGGGTGCTATAGGTGGAATTATCTCAGAACAGAGTAGCTCAAAGAGGAGGAATAGAAATGAATGTTCATCTCTGTATTATGAAGATCTATGCAAGACGAATGCTGTAATATTAAAGTCTGTAGCTAATGGTCTGAGTTCACAATCCGGTGCTATTAGTTATGAAAACTCAGACAGAACTGGGCCATATGAACAATCAGTACTTTGTTCAAAAGTTACTCCAGGTTTATTTATTATGGATACTAAATAATGAATACATAACTATATGATTGCAATTTTTTAATCTACACTGTGCAAATAAGAATATTATTAGATTTTGGATATTAGTATTGTATCATTCGTTGAGTAATCAATTTTTTCTAATACTCATGAAATTTTGTCACTCCTTTTAAAGGTTCCTCTAGAAGAAGTAGTCGAGGCTTATTTTTTTCTTCACAAGAATCAATGCAGAGCTTCACTGAAAAAGAGTCTTCTAATGAACATATCAATATGTTCAATGTAACCAGCAGCATGTATCCATCTACAATAACAGGTGCCAATGTATATGTATTCATTGTGAGACGCAAACAATTTGCTGTACAAAGTTATATCTGTTTTTGTTATTTTTCTTTTCTGATTGTTTCTGTGATTTATTCTTCCTTATACTATATGATTAGAATTTGACCATTATTTAGTTGAGCATAAAACATGATTTTATAAATGTGAACCATCTTGAATCTTAGCAACACCTAATTTATGTTTATTGGGATTAATGTATTTCATGGTTTAGAAATACAAGAGCTGAAGTATGAGACTTCAATATATTTTGTATAGGTCACTAGGCTTAAAAGTTAGTTATTTAGATGGAATATTACAATGAAAGATCTTGAAACATGCTGTGTGAAATGAATCGTGTTTGTTTTATTTCAACATCTTGGCACTTTAACCTAAACTTTCGTGTTATTAATAGGCTTATATGATGTGACTTTAGATTATACGAGGCTTTAAGTTTGAGGCCTTACAATAGGTGTACAGATTATTGGGCTTAAAATTATATCTACACAATGCAGGTGGTGTTGGGGGTTTAAATGAACAATATAATTCATATTATGTTTATTAGAAAACCATAATGCATGGGCTTGCAAGAGGTTGAAGTGGATGTGGTGCATGGTCTTGCAAGAGGCAATGGTCGTTATATTTCTTGAAAGAAGTATATGTATCTTGTATTTGGTTTTTTTTTTTGGGTATTAGACTAAGACATGGTATTTTAAATAAAATTGGATTATTGCCCATGTCCTTATGTAATTTGAGCTAAATTTATATAATAGTTTACATATAATATAGAGATATTTTTGTTTTTAGATTGCTGTGCTTATAAATAATTTCACTTAGTGATTATTGGACATTAGAGGTACAAATGAGCACGGAATTTTTTATGAGTCTAGTATGAAACCGTATAGTTTCTGATATGAATAGGCAATTGTTAGCTTGAATTTAAAATATGGTTAGTTTTGTAATTTAAAAATAAATTATTACATCTTGATTTTTATTTTACTTTATGTGAAGTAGATGAAGTGGATGAAATAACACTGATATTAAATTACTATTGTTGTTATTACGACTGTTCATCACTTGTAATATTAGTGTATTATAAACTTTTATTTATTTGGTTATACATTACTTCTTGCAGATGTCCAGTACAAGAATACACAATTTTTGTTTGGCACAGATCTTAGTTATGATGGTAAAGATAGTGGCAATGATTCTGACATCTTTGAAGGTAAATGTTGTAATAACACACACCTCCACAGTATTTTTTTTTATTGTTATTACAAATTTCTTGATTATTGATTGTTTAGGAGATTTAGTTAATGGTGAGACATCAACTTCTATTGACAATGGTGGAGTGGAGGCACCTGAGTTTTCAGAGCAATCTTTATTAGTTGGTAAGAGTAATTTTTTACAATTTGATTACTCTTATGTACCTTACCTACAAAAATCTGTGTTAACTAATTATTTTAATTTGATAGACTAAATTGATGAGGGAGATCCTACTTATAAGTGTGAATCATGCGGAGCTATGATGTGGTTCAATGAGAAAGTTGGGAATAACTTGTCTGAGACATTTCCTAAATTTTTGATGTGTTGCTTGAAGGGGAAAGTTCAACTTCCTATTATGACTCCACCTCCCTTGGAATTGCACAATTTATTCTTTGACAAAAGATTAGCTGCATCAAAGAACTTTCATACAAATATTAGGTCTTATAACAATATGTTCTCATTTACATCAATGGGTGAAAAGGTTGATCATTCAAAGAATTGTGGTGGTGGGCCATACACTTATGTGTTATTTGGAATGAACTATCACAAAATTGGTAGCTTATTATCGCCTCAAGGAGCCAAACCGGTCTATTCACAGTTATATATTTATGACACAGATAATGAAATATCAAATCGAATCTCTGCTGTAAGGTAATTTATGAATTTTTTGGACGTTATTGTTTGAATATTGATTTTGATAGAGATAATTAGTGTCTTGACATTATTTATTTTGTCTTGTGGACAGCAAGCATGTGAAGGAATCTACAATTGATCCTGCAATAGTTGATCAGATAAAGAAGGTTCTTGATGATGTTAATCCATTTGTCAAGCAATACCGTTTGGCATCATCAATGATAAATAGTAAGCAACACACTAAGCTGAAGTTACGTTTAATTAGTAATAGACTTCAAGATGGTCGCAATTATAATTTGCCTTGTGCATTTGAGGTTACAGCCCTTATAGTAGGTGATATTGATATGAACTTTAGTAGAAGGGATGTGATAATTCATGAACTCTCTGGATCACCTCAACATATTAGTGAGTTGCATGCATCGTATCTCCCACTCCAATACCCTATTTTGTTCCCTAGGGGGGAAGATGGCTATAGAGATGATGTCGCACATCGTGAAGAGACTCTTAGTGTGACTAAGAAGAAGAAGATGCTTAGCATGAGAGAATACTTTGCATACAGACTGATGTTTAGGGTGAATGAGATATCATCAATATTACATGCAGGAAAATTGTTTCAACAGTTCATAGTTGATGACTATACAATGATTGAATCTCAACGGTTGTTATGGGTTAGAACGCACCAGCAAGAATTAAGGGCTGACTTATACCAAGGTCTAACAGATGCTTTAATGAGCGGTGAAAGAAATGGGGCATTCGTTGGCAAGCGTGTTATATTGCCTTCTTCATTTACAGGGGGTGCACGGTACATGCTCGGAAATTATTAGGATGCTATGGGACTTTGCAGATATTTTGGATATCCAAGTATATTTCTAACATTCACATGTAACCCAGGTTGGCCTGAAATTGCAAGATATTGTGAAGGTGATTCGTTGTTGTCATCAAATAGGCCAGATATACTTTCTAGGGTGTTCCATATGAAACTTAAAGCATTGATGTCAATGATTAAGAAGAAAAAAAATATTTGGCAAAGTTTGTGCAAGTATGAAATATTTGCTGAGCTTTTGTTTTATAATTTCACAAGTGATAATCTTTTAGAAGATATTTTTCTATTTGTGATCTTTTGTTACTTGAATGTTTTACAGATGTTTATACTGTAGAGTTTCAAAAAAGAGGGCTACCACATGCACATATTCTATTATTCCTTGATAAACAGGATCAACTTAAAGATGCAAATAGTGTGGATAAAGTCATATCCGCAGAGATTCCTGATAGGCAGGTGAATCATACTCTATACGAGTTGGTGAAGAGGTTCATGATACATGGTCCATGTGGTCGTTTGAATACGAAGTCACCATGTATGAAAGATAATAAAAGTAGCAAGTATTATCCAAAGAAGTTTGTTGATCATACGACAATTGATGATGATGGGTATCCTACATATAGAAGACGAGATGATGGACAGACTGTAGAAATAAAAGGTATATCATTAGATAATCGATTTGTTGTGCCCTACAACCCTATATTGCTTTGTAAGTTTCAAGCTCATATCAATATTGAGAAGTGTAATCAGTCTTCTGCAATTAAGTACTTATTTAAGTATATCAGTAAGGGTAATGATAGGGTAGTTGCTTCTATTTATGATACTAGTCATGATGGGAATGGAGATAGATCAGCTGATGAGGTCTGTCAATATTACAACTTTAGATACATATCTGCATGTGAAGCAGCGTGGCGAATTTTTGCATTTGACATCCATCATAGATATCCTGCTGTTGAGAGGTTAAGTTTTCATCTTCCCAATCAACAATATGTTGTATACTCTAATGACGATGATCTTGCTGAGTTGGTCAATAAGCCTAGAGTCTATGAGTCAATGTTTCTTGCATGGATGCAAGAGAATGTTAAGGATACATTTGCTAGAACATTAACGTACTCAGAATTTCCTCAGCATTATGTTTATCAAAGAACTAAGCGAGTATGGAAACGTAGAGAGAAAGGATTTTCAATTGGGAGGATAACTTACACTCCGCCTTCATCTGGTGAACTGTATTATCTTCGGATTCTTTTAACAAAGGTTAAAGGCCCTATGTCTTATGAAGATATAAGGACAGTCAATGGAATTGTTTACCCAACTTACAGATCAGCATGTTATACTCTTGGGTTGCTAGATGATGATAATGAATACATAAGCGACATCAAAGAAGCATCATTGTGGGCCTCTGGTGTATCATTAAGGAAAATGTTTGTTAGCATGCTTCTTTCTTCATCCTTAAGTCGGCCTGATTATGTTTGGGATGAGACTTCAAAACAATTGTCAGAGGATATGTTATACATACCGCGTAGTGATCCTATGTCATCAAGTAAGTGATATTTATGTTTCATTCATTCAATTATTATATAAAGTCCAAATGACAAATTTTTATGTCTCTTGTATTTGAAGAAACAGTAATTTAATAAATTAAACAATTTTTGTAGGTGTGATCATATCTGATAGTGATAAAGTAGTAGCAGCATTGAAAGAAATTGAAGTCTTGCTACAACAAAATGGGAAGAGTTTATTAGATTTCCCATCACTACCTTATCCCCCATCAAGTCTTACAATTGATGTTAGAAATCACCTGATTTTACAAGAATTAAATTATGATCGTGTTGCTCTACAAGGAGAGGCAGAAAGATTGACAGCTACTTTGAATGAAGAACAGAGAAGCATCTTTAACACTGTTATGTCATCATTGAATGCTTCAACAGGTGCTTGTTTCTTTGTGTATGGTTACGGAGGCACAGGGAAGACATTTTTGTGGAATGCATTAACATGCACACTTCGTGCTCAGGCTGATATTGTTCTAACAGTAGCCTCAAGTGGAATAGCTATTACACTATTGCCTGCTGGGAGGACTGCTCACTTAAGATTTGCCATCCCAATACAAGTAAATGAAGACTCTGTTTGCAACATAAAGCATAATTCTTCATTGGGCAATTTGATTAAATCAACTAAATTGATCATTTGGGATGAAGCTCCTATGGTTCAGCGTTTTTGTGTTGAGGTATTTGATCGATCGTTGAAGGATATTATGCATTCTGATGCTCCGTTTGGTGGTAAATGTGTTTTGATGGGAGGGGATTTTCGTCAAATACTCCCTGTCATCCCTAAAGGTACAAGAGCTGATATTGTAAATGCATGTATTAGTTCATCCTACTTGTGGGATTATTGCACTATTTTCCAATTGACAAGGAACATGCGTCTTTGTTCATATGCATCTGATGAAGACTGTTGCCGTTTACAAAGTTTTTCACAATGGCTTCTAGATATTGGTGACGGTAATCTAGGTATGCCACATGATGGAGTAGCAGAAATTGAGATTCCTTCAGATATTTTGATTAAGGATTATGAAGATCCAATTAGTGCTATTGTGTCTTCCACATATCCAAATCTTTTAAAAAACTTGGATGATAGTTCATACTTTAATGATAGGGCCATATTAGCACCAACTATTGAGGCTGCTAACCATGTTAATGAATACATGTGTTCTTTGCTTCCAGGGGAGCCTGTTGATTATTTTAGTTGTGACTCAGTTTGCAAATCATTCTAGGATGACGATAGGATTGAAGACCTATATACAACTGAGTTTTTAAATACAATTAACAGTTCTGGATTACCTATGCACAAGATGACCTTGAAGGTTGGGGTGCCAGTTATGTTGTTACGGAATATTAATCAAGCTTCAGGGTTATGTAATGGAACACAACTATGTGTCACTCATCTTGGTAAATCTGTGATTCAAGCATTGACTTTGAATGGTTCCCATCCTAATCAAAAGGTTTTGATACATCGCATGGACATGAACCCCTCTGATAGTCGATTGCCATTTCGGATGAAGAGGAGATAGTTCCCCATTTCTCTGTCATTTGCAATGACTATAAACAAGAGTCAAGGACAATCATTACACTTTGTCGGGTTATACTTACCTAAGCCAGTTTTTACACATGGTCAATTATATGTTGCCTTATCTAGAGTGAAATCTGTTACAGGATTGAAGATACTCTTGCATGATGTTGAGAACAAGAGGAAGAACACCACTACTAACGTGTTTAGGGAAGTTTTCAGAAATGTACAATCCCAAAATGCATGCGTTGAAACATGATTAGCTTAGGTAATCATTAATTTGATTTTGGTTAGTATTTGCAGCTCACATTGACTTTTGATGGTATTGTTGTTTATGCTGTCCGTGCATCGCACGGGGTAACTCGCTAGTTATCTATATAACTAGTTTAGCTATCAATAACAAGTGTGTAGTGCAGATTGATATTAGTTATTAATATATGCTGTGACAATTGTTAATATAGTTGGTTTAATTATCATTAACAAGTACGAGATGTAAGTTGACATTAGTTACTCACACATCATGGTATTTGTCGATATAGTTAGTTTAGTTGTCAATAACAAGTATATAATATTATAATGCATTATAATATTATATTCTAATATAAAGAGAATTGTCCTTTCTAGCACCCTTAGTTATTGATGGTAGTATTTTGACTTGTTAATGGATACATTCTTACTTGTCATTTTCCTACTTCTAATAATGTCGTATAAAGATTTGCTTACACCTTGAAAATTTTGATATAAATTTATATCTTATGCTTTTATATATAATTAAGTTATCAATTGTGAGCTAACATCATGAGCAATGATCATTTACTTAGTATTTGGGTATAATATTGATATATTCTAGTATAATGCAACCTCCGATCTTTAATACAAAATCTCATTTCTCTTTTATTTTAATCTTAAATATAACACCCCAATGTATTTTTCTCTCATATTTATTCATTTCTTTCCAAAATAGTCCTTCTAATAATGATAGTTATAAACAAGAAGCTTGATTAGCAAGGATATTTTAAGAAAGACAACACCTATTTCTTACAAATAACTAACTTAACTTGTTTCCTTAATCTACTTAAATTAATCAACTAGCTCTTATATTTAGGATCGGAGGTAGTATGTTAGTTATCATCATTCGTGCTCCTCCACCTATCCTTAACTCATTAATCAATACATTCTCACTTATGATTTCCTTGTTATTAACAATGTCATTAATCCCCATTTATAGGATGCGGATCACAAGAGAGCATTAGGCACTTAAATCCAATTAAGTTTCGGTTTCAAAATCATTAACTTACTTAATGAGGATTTAGTATTGTTAAAGATGTTAGTTACAAATATTGAAGAGGTATAATGGTGAGTAGGGAAGCAAATTAATTGGACAGATATTTTTCATAAGGAGTGCCCAGTACCGTGTTTGACTCGTGCATAGGGGGTAAGAGGAAATTGCCGGATTTGTCTTCGGTGGCCCATTATGCGTGCAAGTCCACTCCTCCTCTTGGCCTATTTAGTAGCCCAAGACCTCTTATTAATTAGACCCCCACAATCCCAAGTGATGTGAGACTCTTCTTTTGACACACACACACAATATTTACAACAATCCCCCATATGTGTCAAAAGAAGTACCTTTAGTCCAGTTATACACAAGAGTATAGCCATTGTATCTGGTGGTCCTTTAGACTTAAAATTAAACCTAGATCAATAACACTTAGTACACAAAGATGTTGGTGGTCTTATGAACTTAAAACCAACACCTCTAGGGCATATACTAGAGGCATTATTAGTCAGATTATATCCCCACATTTTTGCTATTAACAGTGTTTGTTTCGCGTTAAGACGACCATGCGCGTGCCTAGTGCATAACAAATGCTCTAGAGATTTTGCCATGATCTCATAGGAGCGGCCCCACTCCACATTCGTATAGGTGATTTCATAAAATGTACCTACAATGAGCACACCATCCCATAGGATTATGAAATCATTAAGAGCTTTTGCTCAGCTTTACCAAAATGCATTCTAGCACTTTCTCATACCATAGGAAGGGACCAATATTTTACTTCAGTGCTAGCAGAACTGACAAGCGACTTGTTCTTACCTATTGAACCTTCTTCATGGAATCACCAATCACAAAGGTTGGGCTGCCATCACTGTCAATTTCAAGTAGCTTTAATCCCATTCCTCTCAACTAATTTGTTTCTTCTTGCAGTTTTGTTAACGGATCTAATAGGTCCTCTTTTGACCTCACAAAATTGATGAGATAACTTCATAATTTTTAAGCATGCTTATTCACATTGTATCTCAAGTGATTTCCACTTGCACCATTGTCCTCTCTACAATGGTTATTGCCATTTAGCAATCACAACTCATTAACACTAAACATTGGTTTTACATCAATATATCTGCTAAGGAGTGTTCAACAACTTAGCCTTCAATCACCACTATAGGTAAATAATCACTAGTGGATTTTCTCATAAATTAAAATTTATTTAACATCCGTATATCTCTATACAACGAGAATCCACCATACATGATATCAACATTTTATGGTACCCCTTGAATATTTCTTTTCTCTCATAGGACTCCATATTTAAATATGGATTCATCCTTACATCAAAAGTTACATCACAAAGTTAATTTAATGCAACAAATTCTCAAAAATTTGTGCATACACAAATTGAGCTACACAACTACCTCAAACAAAGTGTTAGCATCATAAGGAATATTCACGTATCAGTTCTCAAAGACCAAGCTTTTAAAACCATTTCTCTCATAATCTCATTCCTTTATGATCTTAACACTTAAAACCACATTTGTTTCACCCATGCTTTCATAAGCACCAAAACATTATAAATAATATTTTATATCCACATTCAATATTAACAGTGGTTGTGCATACTCATGCATATTTATATCAAGATAAATTATTTATCAACAAATACTGATATTATGAAAATTAAAGCAAATTTATCTCTGCACTAGATAAATGACTAAAATTTCACACCCATATAATGCTTATTCAAGCAACTCAAAAAAAATTTGATAATTCACAAAAATTTGCTCTCAATAGCAAATAACAAAGCCTCCGCTTTTTTTTCCCCCCAAATACAACACACATATTGAGATTTTCAAAATGAGCTTGATACAATTTGAAATTAACCAAAACATATTTTTCTCCACCAATATTAGTTCAGTAAGGTACCTCATATTTTAGGCACCCCACACTTTCAAATATTTCATTTTTTATAGAAAAATTATTTTCATACCTTATCAACAATAATTCTAATTAAATTATAATCTCATATGATATAATCCCCTTCCTTTCTAATTATATTAGAATTTCCCACATGATATGCATCTCACATAGTAAAAATCACAATACAGTTATCTACATGAGAATACCAACTCACTGTATCTGCCCACAACTGGAATAGTTGTTCCATATGCCAAGATAAAATCAAGGCAACTTAGTATCTTACCTCCTTCAAACAAGATATGTCCACAAATTATTTTTAAAAAAAACACTAGAAGCATGAAGATATGAACTAATATTATAACAAAGTTTGCAATATAATATCCATTATATTGTTGTGCATATACTAATCGTAAATTAGTACATTTAAAATTAAAACCTCACAAACTCAAGGAAAAATATCCATTCGCATGAGATATATTAATTGGCATTATATTATCATTGATGGAGGAGCGTTTGTGGAAGAACATTGAAGGGAAATTGCCATTTTTTTTCTTTAGCCGGTAAGAGAAATTGCCGTTGGCACATTAAAATTTGTGGATAAAGATGAGCAATATTAATAGTAATAATGAGGAAGCAGACAATCAAAATAATCAATTTTAACCAGCTCATGACACCAACGGATAATAACTATACCAATGTTAACAATGTATATTTAAAACACATAAAACCAATCATGCACGAGGCATTGATGTAGAGAGTATTGAGACCCATAAAAAACCAGTATTATATGAAACCCCCAGTCACCTCTTTAAGTTGCTGTTTATCCAATCGAATTATTTAAATCACCATCGATGGAGTAATAATAATAGGAGGTTATCAACTATTAAACCCAAATTAAAATATGTATTGACTGACCCAACAAAGCTTTCAACAGGAAGAAATAAAACGTGCCAATGGAAATACAATGTAATAATGTAAATAATCATTTAATCAATCAATGGGTAAAAATCCACCAATGTTTTTTTTTCCTTTCAACTTAATAAAACTTTTAAAATATCCTGTTAAAATAACATACTCTATTTTTCCTTCTAAACACAACAATGATGTTTTGTTGATAAACCATCAACCCACCATATGTGTGTGTGTGTGTGTGAAGGAATTTCACCATGCATGTAAAACACAATTCACAATGTTCTTGTATATATACAAAATTCCATAAAATATTCAATAGATTATTAGTTCACGGATTTTAAAACACTTATCTTGCCATGTCATTGAAATTTTCCATGTTGAAATGTTATGATAACACCATTGCTGCTGCTTTAAAATGGTCTCATTGGTTTCTGATGGTTTTTTTTAAAAAATTACATTTAAAGCTCTTAAATACTGATCACATGGCTTTGCGAAACCCACTAAATGTGAAAATCAATTGAATATATCCAATAAATATGAAACCAATGGCTAAAAGGCAAATGATCACCAAATGTTTATTTAATATCAAATATAAAGGCTTA